CTCATTGATTAGCACAATTAAGAATTCTTATAAAGCTATATTACAATGTACCCAGGATGCCCTGTACACATTGTCACTTCCAAGGTTCTGCTATCATCACAGGGTGACAGAAAAGTGTAAAGAAAAACATCAACCTATAGATGTGCAAATGCAGCTTTGCACAGTCTGTGAAATGGATGATTAGCACTCTTCACTGTTCTCAAATTTCGGAATCAACAAAACATCTTTAAATATGCTCATCAAACATGAAGCCAGAGGGGTTGAGGCAGTTGCCTGCTGTTGCATGGCATAGGGTGGCCTCCATGTCCCTAGGATTCAGACCTTCTGCAAGCTGACTGCTGATACTGGCAAGGCTTTCAATCCCATCCAAAAGAGGCCATTGTGACAAACCAGCCATAATTGCTACTCACTTTGAGCAATATTGTGTTCAGAAAAATCCTTGAGCTGATGGCTTCAAGTGAAGCAAAATAAAGCAACGAGAAACTACTGAAATCAGCACTGGGCAGAGCTTTTATTAACGCCCATCCTCTCCTCAGAGTCTGGCCAGCTGGCTGGGAACACATAACTGGTTCCCCATCCATCAAGAAAATTCAGCAACCTATTCCAGAAATGATGCAGAGATAGCTGTTTTGCAGTGACCCAGCCTCTTCAAAGCACAGAAAATGCATTATATCTCAAAAACCATTAGTAGCTCACACGTGGGCTCCAATATCAACCTGGAATACAGTGAGAAATAAGAGACGTGTTTGTGAGGCATCACTGGACTCAACGCTCCTTAAAAACCCTGGCTTTCAGAGTGATAGCATTTTAACCCCCTTCTTCAGTAAAAGCCCCTGTACCCTCATTTACACACTAATGAACCAACAAATGAGTCTCTGAGCAGAACATGGGATTCTGAGTGTCTGGCAGCTGGCAAGAAATATTAAGCTGGCATCTCTCAAAATCCCCAAGTACAGAATATCAGAAGGTCAGGATCTTACTAAAGACAAACCCATTTTTGCTAATTCCAATGTCAATTTTTGGACTCTTTCATACTTCAATGTTTTCTGGGTTGCCAATATGATTTGTTCCCTTTGCTTTATTTCTTCTCTGGCCATTCTTAGCAGCATCCTCTCAGCTCCTCCTCTTAATAATTCCTATATCCTCCCTCCACTTCATATGTTCATGAATACGTATTAAGTGCGCTATTAGGTCCCCTGAGAAAGAGCAGCCCTTAAGTGCTATAGGGTCACGAACCCCTTTCTGTTAGGTTGAAAGGATAAGGAAGGTGGGAATTCCTCACCCAGAGAGGAACTCTGATAAATATCCTGTCTGCAGAAGAGTCAGCATGTATCAATGAGGTGAGACAGTGGGGCTAGGGAATAGCAGGTTTAGAAAGGTGGGCCAGTCCATACATACCTGGGGGCCCATGCAGTACGTCTAGCCAGCAAAGGGAAGCTGTTGAATAGAGTCTAGGAATTATCCAACGATGTTTTAGTTTGGAAACAATCTCTCTTAGCCCACTAATCCTCTTACAGAATGAATTTAGTTGAGTGCTCCATTTAGCCAGTACTTTCAATATGCATGCCTAGTCTGTTCTTCCTGTTCTCCCCAAATTTTTAATCTGACCTTCACAATTTCATCATTTTCCTTCTTTAGCACGTGATAGCTAATCTCCCCCAGAGCTCACCTTTGCTTCAATCCTTTCCTGCATGGCCTAGAGAGATGGGACCAATTCCCCCCACCTTGACTCTGCACCTCTGCTTACTTTGCCCAACAGAATGGATGACAGACCATTCTGGGACTCCCATGCTCAGTCCCAAAGATGCCTGGCAGCCCCTACTTTCTTCCTCTTGTTTTCAACCACCAAATTGGGGGTACATATGCACCTGTGGAAAAGGACAGGGAAAGAAAACCCAAGTGGCACAACACTCGACCCCAGCTAAGCTTCCAGCCACTGCCAACATTCTCGCCAGCCAGCTTATTCCAGCAGTGTGACTGTGTTCCCTGGTATTCTAACTCCAGCTGACTACTCTTTGAAAATGTTTACATGGAATAGACAACCAGCCCAGCCACACGGGCCCAGTCAGTCCACAGCATCCTGAGAATAATAGGAGTTTTCTGTTTATTTAAGCCACTAAATTTGGGGTAGTTTGTTCTGTAGCAATAGATTATGGGTACCATGTCTAAGACAGGCTTAAATAATATTCTCTGTAAACGATTCATGTGAGCATGAAAGCCATACATTTAGCAGTTTACTTCAGAAAGAAGTCCTACATCCCACTGCTCAGAAAAATTAAAGCATAAGGCACGGCAGCCTCTATATGCTCCATCAGCAATTCTGGAAGACTCTGTCAACAGGAACGGAGCAGAAGATGAAAGAGAAAATTTGCTAAGTAGAGCTTAAAGGCAGATGTAAGAAAAACAGAATTCTGAGCAAGGCACAGAAAGAATATGGCATTATTCCTGAGGGCCTGTGTCATATGTCAGGCAGAAACTACTGTATCTTTGCTCCTTGAAATTCAATTATACAGAACATTTGAGCAACTCTTCCTTAGCCAGAATGGTTGAATCATCAAACTTTTTATATTTGGGAGTTAACAGTTTTACACACAGACATAAAAACCCATCTTTTATAGCCTTATTATAAAATCTATTATTGATTCCAGATGAAGAAAACTGAATTAGGAACTGTGAAACACATTCTTTCTTTTTCAACTGTTAAAATACCCTCTTAATACATATGCCATGACTAAATGTTTATCATTGCCAAGTACCACATTAAACATGCTACAAACACTCATAGAGATTTTCTTCCGAACTCTGTGAAGTTGGCATTTCCGTCACTGTGCAAAGGACAAATGGAATAATCGAAAGTTTTAAAGATGGCACATTTTATGGCTATAATTTACATCCTGATTTGTTCAACCTCAAAGCTTTGTTTATAAGCAGTCGGCCATAGTGCCTATTACTATCTGAATTGCTACCTCCAAAATTCGTATGTTGAATTCTAAACCCCAGTACCTCAAAATGTGACTTATATTTGTAGATAGGGCCTTTAAAGAGGTAATTAAAAACAATTGAGGTTGTTAGGGTAGTCACTGTCCAATCTGATTGATGTCGTTATAGGAAGAAAAGATTAGGACATAGACAAGCACAGAGGAAGGACCATGTGTAGACACAGGGAGAAGATGGACAGTTGTAAGCTGCAGAGAGTGGATCAGAAGAAACCAACTCTGATTGGGCATGGGTTGGGGGTAGCAGGGGGGCTATCAAGAGGTACCACGAAGGAGCCTTATGATAATGGTAAGTTCTGTATCACAATTGTGACTACACAAAGATACACATGATAAAATTTCATGGACTCCCCCCACCCAAATACACCACCCAAATAAATAACAAATGAAATCTGAACAAGCTCTGTGAATTGTGCCAATGTCAATTCTCTGGTTTTGGCATTGTGCTATACTAAAGTAAGACGCCAACATGGGTGAACGTGGGGTGTAGGGTGCACAGGGCCTCCCTGTACACATATTTGAAACTTACTATGAATCTATAGTTACTTTAAAATAGTTTTAAATTTTTTGTAAGAGAGTAATCCTGCCTACTCCTTGATCTTAGACTTCTGGTCTCTGGAACTGTGTGCAAACAAATGTCTGGTTTTTTTTAAGCCATCCAGTCTATGGTACTCTTGTTACAGGAGCCCTAGCAAACTCATACAGACCCTAAGAAAGAGATGACCCAAAGTTCAGCATAAAAGTTCACATGCTTCATCCCCTCAAAAAGGGACTATATACTTTGACATTGGACAGTTTTCAAAGCTCAGTTGTCCAAACTGTTTTTTCCTACCTCTAAAATATTAAATATATTTAAGTAGAGTACATAGAGATTATGGGTGTTTTTTAATGAGCATCTTTGTAGTCATCACTTAGGTGAAGAACATTGCCTAGCAGTATCCCAGAAAGTTCCCATTGCCTTTCCCATTACTGTCTTGAACTTTATTTAAGCAGTAGAAAATGCCAGCAACTGAGGAGATATTCTTCTAAAAACAGGTCCAATGATTCAAGGGAAATAAGACCCCCACAGCAAAAACAGAAAGAATTAAAAGTCCATAAGAAATAGAATTGTTCAGGCTTCTGGAAGGAGCAATATAGGATGAACCTATTAGCTGGCTCAAGGGGGCTCACTAAGTGACCATGGAGGACAGTGATAGATGGTCACACCATTCTCTGAATCCTAAAAAGTCCAGACTCCTTTCTCCCTCCAAATGGAACCAAAGAGGTCTGCCTCATTAGAAAATTTATTTTATCTTAAGATGGTCATCATGTATAAAATAGAAGGGATAGTCTAGATATCTTTATTTGGCTAAGCGGTTTAACAAATAATTTTACTACTCCTAGAAATTTTTCTTGCCTAGATTCTTGCTCTTTAGTCATCTGCTCTCCATAACAAACTGCCTTGACTTATTGACGAATCCTTTGTTTCTTGCCCTCAGGAGAAAAACTAGTAGAATATTATTATACTTTACTTATGTCAAGTGGGCAACATGGGCTGCTTGTTTCTCTGACCAGCTAAAGGCGAGAGTCTTTATTAACTTAGCCACCTTTGCAACAGAGCTCTCCCAATGCAAATGAAGATGACTCCGCCTGGGCATCCCATAGGCACATACCTTCTGCTGTTGATGGCAACCGCTGCCATTCAGAGAGCAAATGTACTCTTACACATGCATGCTTCATACCCAAATATGCAGAGAAAAGGTGTTATGCATCTATAATGCATGACCCCTAAGGTGACTTTGGACAACAAGTGGGAAAACCTGAACTTGCATGTAAACACAGAAAATACCAGCAGTGGGGGACAGAGCTGCTTCTCAAAGTCCTGGTCACTTGCAAAGCTTCATGAGGAGCAATGGTTCCAATTATAGATAGCATATCCAGCATTTCTATAAAATGTTCAAATATGCTTGATCGCCACATATATGCAAGCAAAAAATCACTTTTCCTTTTGTCCAGAGTTCTTACCTGTTATAGAGAAGAATGTCTGGTTTCCAAATCTGGCCATCTGGAAAACGAACAGTCTTCACGCCTGGATATTCTGACATATTCCATTGTAAATAGTGATCTGTCCAAGACTGGCACACAGACAATGACATTAGCAGCACTTTGCTTCCTGACCTACTTATATTTCTTGTAAGAGATTATTAGGTATATTCAAAGTGAAAAAGAGTTCCAGTCATTTATATTTACACAAACTGAGTTGCTGTCTATACAATATTAGGCAACTGGGAATTAAATAAATCCTTCCAAAATGATCATGAATAGCATAAAAATCACATTTAAGTTTCTGCTGTCACCATGACCACATTCAGATGGTAACATTAAAGCTAATTCCAACCCACTGCATGCCCTCGAGCCTTCTCTCCCACAGTGATGGGTTCCTTCTAGCCAAATGAATAACTCTTCTGCTTTTCAAGTTTTCATTCTAAGGACATTTTGAAAAAAAAAATAAATTTATTTATTTCAACTGGAATAAAAATCAGGTTGTGGAAATATACACCATTTATTTCCATGAAAACAGTACTGTGCAAATGCATGGGAGACTCTCAGAAATTCTAAGGGCATATTTTTAGATTTGGATTGCTTCAGTTACAACGACATGCTTCTAACACCAGGACCTACCAATGCAAACACTGAGCCTGGACAGTGGGACACTGTCAGGATAGAAGGACGCAGGTGAGGAATGTGAAAGTATTTGTAGATGCACAAACTCAGGTCCAGGACTTAATTTAGATTCCTGAGTGTCTACTGCACAAACAGAGGAAGGCTCTTGCCTGGGGTTCTCCATCCCAGGACCAGGTGCTAACCTGCCATTCCTATGGCCAAATTCTATTGGGACCATAGAGGTGGAACCCTAGCTCCCCACCAGTGTCATGAAACCAGCACTCTACCCACCATGGCATCTCAAGGATGGCAGGTGTGGACCCAGCAGATACTACAACTGTATCGTAATCAGGCCCCATTCTGTTTTCATTTCCCCTGGGACCACCCATGTTCTAGAAAAGACTTTCCAATATTTAGAAAGGTACGCTATACAACACCTCCAGCTGGAACCAAGGCAGATGTCCCATAATCAAACACTGTTATTTTTGCTCTGAAACTTACTTACATATTTACACTGAGAGATAAATAAATGCTTCAATTGCACATCAATTTCAATTTCATTTCAGACCAAATGAATTTGATGCAAGGTTACAAAAATATCAAGGGAAGAGGGAGAAATGAATTTTCAGAACTGTTGAAATTCAGGAATTATAGATGAGGCATGGTGGGTTTAGAACTATTGACACTGCCATCAGGGGCCCAAGGCCATGTCCCAGACATCTAACCAAACTCTGGGGAGGGCAGGTATATCTGCAAAGGTTATCTGAGAGTTGGAACAATCTGAAGTCAGACAGGAGAAGATACCAAGGTAAATAATATCATTTTACAGTCAGGGACCTCAGAGAATGAGAATATGTTAACAAATATCATTGGGAAGCCTCATCAGGGGTATTTAGGACTGAGAAATACCCTGCTATGGTCTCTAATTAGACAAGGGCTAATGGAGAGGGTATGGGAGGAGAACACTGAGGAAGGGCTGGTCTTGTTCAAGTTGTTTGTCAGGAACATCTGGGTGCCACCAAAGGTGTTTGCTGCAGTCTGATCTTTCTCAGGACCCTTGGCCCTGTGCTCCTCTTTATTTCTCTCCCTGCTCTGGGCACAAAGCTCTTCCATACCAATTTCTATGTTTTCTTTATATCTCACCCTGGGATGTATCTCTGGATTGGTCACTGATTATTATAAAGCCAATTATGGCAACTATTAGTAATGCTAATCAGGGCCCTAGGAATCCAGGAATTGCTCGGAAAGGTTAGCAGAAGTTATAGGCAAGCACAGGTGTGGGAAGCCACTCTGAGTGACCACACCTTCCAGTCTTGAATCACTAGGCTCTGACCAATCACTACATTTAGTGGTGACTTGGGCATTGTCCCAGTTCAGATAGCAAGGCAGGTCTTCGGGTATGGGCATCATCCATGGGAGGTGAGCTACACTCACCTATTCCTTTGTAATCCTACCCCTTGCCTCATTTGAATGGCTTCTTCCCAATAAAAGGGTTCAGCACATGTTCCTCTGTCTCTCTTTCCACAGACCCCTAAGGTCAGAGAAGCCGTCGCAGGACCCAAATACAAAGGTATCACTCTGTATGATTATTTCGTGCCAGCCCAGTTCACCTGGAGTGACCGTAAGTGTTTAGTCGTGGGATGCAACACAATGGACTCTTCCATGTGCTAAAACAATGGACAGAAGATGGAAGGAAGACAGGGAAAGAAACTGCTTGGTCAATCAAGCTTAGACCTATCTAAAGGCACCAGGCCAGGCTGCATGCTCCCTCCCCAACACTCCACACCTCCTCCTGCATGTGCACACCCAGCTGTGTATATCCCACAGGTTCCTTACCAGGTGGCAGCACAGCATCACATGCATGCCCATGTTCACCACAATCCAAGGAGGTCAGCATGATCAAGAGACTAAGTCTCAGAGTACTGTATCTTTGGAAGCAGTCACTGGGTCAGGACTCAATTGCGTTACATGATCTCAAGCAAAGTGATCTCTGCACTGTCTCAGAGCTGGTTCTTCTAAGTCAATCTGTATACCGACAAGACAGCCCCCACGAAAGCATGGACTGTATGCTGTCTCTAAAGGTGCTGACCAACTGCTCATGTTGCTCTCCCTTACTTCCAAAGCCAGTCTGGCCCACAGAAAGAAAGGAGGAGCTGCAGGGAGTTTTGGAATCAAACAGACCTGGTCCGTGCCAAGGTTCTGGTACAGTGTTGCTGTGTGAGCTTAAATAGGTGAATCACACTTTCTGAGTGGCAACTCATAGTGTGGCAAGAATGAAATAAGATGATGTGTGCAGCAGCAAGTAAAAATTCTAGTAGTCAAGTGATAAATGATAAAAAAAAAGACAGAAAGAGACTCCTCCATTATATAAAATCCTACAGGATGCTTGAACTATAATAACTGAGCTCTGGCCAAAGATGTAGAAGAATGAGGACCAACATAATGCTGGGAACTGCAGCAGGAACCTTCTGCTGCCTTCCATGGGTTTCCTATGAAAGGACATAGAATAAGGCCTGTAAACAGTCTAGTTTCAGATATATGTTGTTTATCCTCTCAAAACATTTGCTTCCAATTAGATGTTAGATCCCTAAGGGGCGAAGCACAGAGCAACATGTCTGTAGACAACCCTTGGCACCCTTTCCATGTGGTGGCACCTGGAAAGCAGCATCAATGAACCTAGAGATGGCAATACTCCCTGATCTTCCCATACAATAGAATATTCTATTCCTTCTCTCCCTCTGGGATTTCTTCTCATTGAGTCTTTAAGAGAAGAGGGTGTGGGATTATAAATGGGATATGCAGCAAACAAGGAGCTGTTGATCTAAAAGGCACAACAGGAATCTAGATTCTTCCATGATTCTGACACCTGGGCCCTATTAGACCTACCTTGAGGTCACAGGAGACTTTTTGGTGTGTGTGTGTGTGTGCATACAGACCAGCATGGAAATGGAGGGGGGGAGGGAAATTTTCTTTCCTTTAAAAAATATATCTTTTAGTAGAATAAGAAATATTTTGGTTTTCCCAATCCTTACAATTTCCTAGGTGCTAGGAGTCTTTTGTGATAGAGGTCCTCTGGACCACACCTGAGTTTATGCTAATGAAGTGATTTAGGTTTAGGCCTTAGGTAGCTTCATGATGGGGGCTGGTCACCAGAAAGACCAATCATATTATTAAAAGGTGGGAACTTTCAATTTCTTCTCATCCCAACTCCAGGAAGGGGTGGTGGGCTGGAGACTGGGTTATAAAACAAAATTGGGTTATAACAGCAAGGTTCAGAGGACTTCTGATTCAGAGCTATGGACACAGGGATGCATGGGGGATGGCGCACTCAGAGCGGTCCAAGCTCCTCACCCCTCCCCATCCTTTGCCCTATGTCTCTTCCATTTGTGTGTTCCTGAGATACATCCTTCAGAATAAACCAGTAAACTTAAATATTCACCCCAAAACTGTAAGCTGTTCTAGAAGAATGTTGAATCTAAAGTGATGGAGGGTTGTAGAAACACCTGAATGTACAGTCAGGCAGGTGGAAGTACGGGTGTCCTGGGCACCCCACTTGCAGCAAGTGTCTGAAGTGGAGGCAGTCTTGTGGGACTGAGCTCTCAAGCTTGTGGGTTCTGACGCTAATTCAAGGTAGATAGTGTCAGAACTAAATTAAATTGTTCAACATCCAGTTGGTTGTTGCTGTTGAAAAAGATACCACATATTTGGAGTCAGAAAACACCATCCAATCATATTTTTGACAACCCTTCCAATCGACTACTTTGATCGCAAAGAAGGAAAGTGAGCCTCTTTCTATCTCTTGCCTCTGAAACTGCTTTCCCAGTGAGATATAATGATTTAATCACCCCACCCCAATCCTCTGCATGCAATCAAGGTCCTAAGCAGGTCACTGGCTGGCTAAACTATGACCCTGATGTGCTGCGTTTCGATGTGTTAGAGAAAATAAATGCAAAAAATAAAAAGGTAAACATTTTAGAAATAATTTGGTTTACAATCTAACATTCTATGATTGAATGCAATTAGTACCATAATTAGAATTAGGAGGTTAAAAATAGAGAATAAACAAAAGAAGGCTGGGAAATCTAAAGAGAAGAATGAGCAAGATATCAAAAGAAGACAGAGTTTAATGGCTCATATGTCTCTTTAGATACTGAAATGGCTGCTGTCATTTCTTCTCATACATTAAATCAGATTAGGTCTGTTAGACCTCCCAAAGTGATAAAACAGCTACAGAGACCACATACCAACTGCTTCCTCCTAGGAATATGAAGAAGTAAAAAGAGAGATCAGCAACTTCATATTCCTAAGGTTATCCGAATAATCTGAAATTCAGAAAAAAAATCAAGGACAACTGGGAGAAAGGATAATAAAATCAACAAACTTTAGGTAAAAGAGAATTTAATTATTTTTTTATTCTTCTGCCTCTTCCATTTTGCATGTATAGGAAAACTATCATTTGCAGTAAACTAACCTAGAGTTTAAATACCCTAGAGAAAAAGTTATGTGGATTCAGATTTTCAGAACAGGAATTCAGCAACATAAAACTGTGGAAAATAAAAATCCATGGCTCAGAGCCTTTTCCTTGAATCTGTTTACCTCCTGCCCACATTACTACTTTTCCAGGTACTCTGCCCTTTCTGCCTTCAATATCTAGCTTTGGTTCCTGTACATGTCCACTACTCAGGCTGGGTTACGCCAGGCTGATCACTCATGATGAAACCCAAGAACAAGGACCATTTAGAAATGGTCTTGGGGAAGCTTCCAAGCTTGCCCTTGGTTGAGGATCTCTTGCCCAAATCTCCCAAGTCCATGGTGTGACACATAAGAGCACCAGGGCTTCTAGACTGAAGCACCAAGCAGGAGCCGGGGACACAGAGGCACAGGATTGAATCTTGGAACTGTTAAGAGTTGTTTTAAACCCAAGATTCTTGGGATGCCCTAAAAATTTAGTTGGAGTACTTTCACAGTTTCTGCATCACCATTCCAAATTAATGTCATTATTCAGCTTTATAAGTGCACTTGCCATAAGGGAATTGGCTTTCAATATGGCAGGCACCTGAAAAGAAGTATCAATTAATAATGAAATGCTAGTGCTCCCAGATCTTCCTATTTAGAGGAGTTTGGGACTTTACCTGTATCCCATTACTATAAAACAGGATTGTTCCCACCTGTGACTTCTTCCATCCTTCCATCAGTCTGTCCCCTGCAATATCTCTAAGAAACCACTTGGTCTTGGTATGTCAAGCTTTTCTACTTTCTTCTGACTTTAAAAAAATTAATTGGCATATAACTGCACATACTTATGGAGTGGAGTGTGATAATTCAACACATGTATACAATGTGTAATGATTAAATCAGAGTAATTAGCATTTCCATATCCTCAAACATTTATCATCTCTTAGTGGTTAACCTTTCCTTAAATGTGTTAATTACACAGCCTGATTGTAAATGGCTGAGAGTGGAAACTGTCTTACATTTTTAGGTGCCCTCACATGGCCTCATTCAGTATCTTCCACATATTAGGTGCTCCCAAAGGTAAGTTGAATAGGTAAAGGAGATTTTTTTTAAATGAAGGTACAGATGGTTCTGCAAATGCAAGTATTAATTAGAAATAAGCTGGGCTTCAAAGAAATTTAAGATCTCTGGTGACATCCTCCAAAGCAAAGATTTTATTTATGGAGCACCTGAACTCAATACAGTAAGTAATAATCCAGTTATATTTTTTCCTGAAAACCAATACACTTTAAAATATTGCCCTATCATATACTCTGCTGAAAACCAATGACTTAGAGCTAAGATAGGTGGGCACCAGAGAGAGAGCTGTCCATGGCACTTATTTTGTAAGAAAAACATCAGTAACAGCTCTGTTCCTTAGAGGGCACAGGGAAAGTATCTGCATCATCTCCCAAGTTGCCAGAGCTTTACCTTATATTGAAGTGTCCCAATGTTATGCAGGTGTTGGCTTTATGTTGTATTGTAATATCTTAGGCCATTCTGGCAAGGCAGTGGGCTAGGAGCTAGGGGTCATAACAGTGAACAAATCTAGCTAGAGCCCTGCTCTCCTGGTGCACACATGCTAGTGGAGGCAAGGCAAGGAACTTGGAGGTTAGGAACAAACACAAGTGAATACAAAATATGTATGATGGTAAGAAGTGCTTTGGAAGAAAAATTGAAGCAATGTAAAGGGAATATAGTGGGGGCTGGTATGTAGATAGGTGGTAGAGCACTAGCCTAGCATGTGAAGGTCCTGGGGTTCAACCCCTAGCGCTGCAAAAGAGTGGGGACAGAGTAGGCTGGAAGTAGCAGGGAGTGTTTGGGGCAATACACAGGAGCTCAGGGAAGACATACTGAAACAGTTGTTTAGGAAGAGACCAATAAGAAGTAAACAAGCAAATCAACTGGTTCTTAAGAACCTTCCAGGCAGAGAGAGCAGTAAATGCAAAGGCCTGGAGGTGGACATGTATTTGGATAACGTATGCATTACTTACATCAAAAGGGCAGGAAACACTGCTAGGAAAGAAGACAGAGAAGATGGGAAAGGAAGGATGGTCTAAGCAGGGAGCGATCAAAGGTGACTTCAAGGCACTTTAGCTCTTAATTTCCACAGGGAGGCAGGACACCCTGGAGAGATGAGCCTGAGAGGCATGTGACTAATACTTCCTTGTATCTTAAAGGATCACACAGGCTGCTATGTTGAGAACAGACATCATTAGAGGAGGCAAGCACTGCACAGAAGACTGGCCTGGAGACTCCACAATACGGGAGATGAGACAAGATGCCAGTTTAGACCAGATGTGAAGTGGTTAGATCTTGGATCTGTTTAAAATGTTAAGATGTCAGAATTTGCTAATGAAACAGATGTGAGATCTGAAAGACAAGAGTTAAAGGTGACACTGAGGTTTTTGCATTGTGCAGATGGATAATGGGACAGCCATCTACCCAGACAAGGATGACTGTGGAAAGAGGCATGAATGTGAATGAAGAGAAAGGTAGTGGGGACAACTGTTAAAGGGATGCTCTCAGCAGGTGCCAGAGGATGGGACATGTCCACTGGAGGCAGGGCTAGCCTTCCAGGGTGGAACAAATCATGCATCCCAGGGAAAAGGAGGGAAGCTAGAATAGGTGGGCACAAGAAAAGGGATGGGATGTACCTACTGAAGCATACTGCTTTAAATGCTGCAGGAGAAAACTCCCAAAGACTCCACCCTACTCATTATGGGCAGGTTCTGCAAGAGGTCTCATGCATAGCTTAGTGCACCTCTGGGACACTTAGCAAATGGATTTAAGCAGATCTGTTTTCTCTCTCTCAGCTCTGCATGGCATTCCCACAGACTCACCTGGGAATACCATAGGCCCTCACTTTTATTTCTCCTCCCCACTCCACTTTACAAAGAAAGGCATTCTTCACTTAACTCATCTTGGGAGACTGAACTAAGAACTAACAAAGATTCGCCTGCAGTTGTCTCTGTGTATGAATTACCTTAAAAAACTGAGTGACAAATAATTTAAAAGGTGAGGGGGTAATCCTTTTATTTTTTGCTTTCAATAAAAATGAAGAAAAAACTAATTAAGTTGCCAACTGATGCATTTGATGGAAACAATGTTATTTTGGGCATAAAATCTGGAAGAAGTTCAAAGAATTGAATAATATTTTTTAACAAAAAGTCTTTCATTACCAACTCAAGATGTTGCTGCATCTATTAACAAAATAAGTTAAAGAACTGATGATGACAACTGTATTGTTCTGTTCTCTTGTGTCTAGAAATAACAGAATCACCTGTGGATACATAAATTAATTTAAAACAAACCCCCATCTTGACACAGACATGAATTTCCAATATAAAAAGTATTGAATATTATGTATTAAAATTTATACCAATAAAAATGTGCCAATAATAATAGCAATATTAAGTCAAATCTGAAGAACTTTTTAAACACTTATGGTCTGAAGGAATAATTTATATGTAAACATTTACATTTAAGAAAAAATGAGTTATAGTGATTAATAAAAGTCTTTCAAATACAAAATTATTTTGCATTATTTATAAAACCCTGCATGAAAAGCATAACAGAAATGCAGATGCAAGGAGAAAAAGAGGATATGTAAAACATTAAACAGCAAAAGAAGGGTTTGCTTATATTGTTTTTTAAGGGAATGATATGGACACAGAGTTAATTATTATTATTATTATGGTATTAAGATTCCATGTGAAATAAAGACTAACAGTTTTATGTTTGAATTTCAATATTTACAACTTGATGGCATGATATCACCTGTAATTAATTGAATTTAGATTAGCATCATAGATATCAAGTTAAAAATCCAGGAATAGAAAACAAATTGAGTATCCCTTATCCAAAATACTTGGGAACTATTTCAGATTTTGAAGTTTTTTTGAATTTTGGTATATTTGTGTAGATTTTGCTGGTTGAAGATCTCTAACTGAAAAAATCTAAAAACTTGAAGTCCGAAATCTGAAAGAGTTTGAATGTCATGTTCAAAATGTTTCAGATTTCAGAGCATTTCAGACTATGGATTTTAGATTAGGGATGCTCAACCTATATAGTCTTTAGAGGTTTTTGCAGAAGTCACTACAGCATGAAATGTGAAGACTTATAGCACAGAAAGTCTCAGACTGAGTCAAACATGCATCTCTTGAGGGTACAGAAGACAGGCAGGTGCTGCAGAGCACTAGGGAGTGGCTACAGCACAGGTTGGGACCATCTAAATGCTGCCCTGCATCTTATTATTTTTCTTGCCTGAAGTGGTTTTGAAATGTCCCCAGATCACCCAGTAGTACAATAGAAGCATGCATCAAGCCCTGCTGTTTTTCAGTATTGAATATTCAATGCCAACCTAAAGGACTCTCTAAGCCAGAAATTTATAGTCTGCAGCATGACACCTCCAGCATTCGTTGCTGGCAGGTGTAGAGTCAGGGGTGACAGCCTGGGCTTTTCCTCACAGAACCTCTGCCTTCCCTGCTGATCAAGCACATGCATCCCAGAAGCATGAATAGGCAGACACAGAAGCAAGGATGCCACTGTCTTAACTTACCATTTGCAGCCAAATATTGGTGGTTAAAACTTGGTTCTTCTCATCCTAAAAAAGAAAAAAAAAGAAAGAAAGAAAGAAGAAAAAAGAAAAAAAAGCAGCATAAATACAGCTTATGTACTTTACAAAAGAAGGAATGATACAATTATTCATGTAGAAATTTGACTATTGGGATCATTGTTGTATGTGCAAATTAGAATGCACCAAGCACTTCCAAATCTATGCCAGCAGCATTTCCCCAGAGTTAAGCTTTTCTATTCATTCTGAAGTAATACACATTTATTATAGAGCACTTACAAAGGATGGCAGAGTATAAAGAAGGAAATTAAAATTGGGCAGCCCTACCATCCAGAAATGATGTCTGCTAAGGACTTTGCTATTTATCTTATTTATAATTTACATACTTTAAAAATTGGGTGCAAATTTTAATTTTTAAAGGCAGTTTTATTGCTAGAATTTATGTACTTTTAAACAAATATTCAATGCTTCCCTCCCAAAAAAGCATGGCCCCATGTCAAGCAGCCCCACCCTATGTTGAGAATGCTGTAGCCTATAGCTCTGCCTCATCCCTGTGGGTCTGGGTCTTCTAATATTCTCTACCTGACCAGTCAACATGTCAGGCCCCTGCCATACATCTGCAAAATAAATCCTACGCAACTGAGTAAACTAAGGGTTAGGAAAGTGAGGCAACTTTACAAAAAATACACTCACACTGGGATATGTCTGACTCCAGGACCCGTTTTTCTGCATTTCCAAGATACCTTTCTGAATAGGGATCCAGCAAGGCATCAAGTTTGTACATCAGCCACTGAGCCCAGCACAGTGTATCAACGTTGTTCAAACACCAAGCATCTACTACAGTTTGGATCATAAGTATTCCTCAAAGGCCTGGAGCTTTGGAAGGGTCTAGAGCTTTTAAGAGGCGGGGATCTAGGGACTGGGGTTGTGGCTCAGAGGTAGAGAGTTTGCCTAGCATATGTGAGGCACTGGGTTCGATTCTCAGCGCCACGTAAACAAATTAAATTTAAAAAATAAAGTTATTGTGTCCATCTACAACTAAAAAAAAATTTTTTTTAACGAGATGGGGCCTAGTAGGCAGTCTTTAGGTCATTAGGGGATTGCTCTTGAAGGGGGCAGACAGTGGGACTCCAGCCCCTTCCTCTTCCTCTCTTTCAATTCCTGGCAGATCGTGAGCAGGTCTGCTCTGCCACATGCTCCTGCCACAATGAGCTGTCTTGCTACAGTCCTAAAGGAAGAGGCCAACCAATCACAGACAGAAACTTCCAAAACCATGGACCAAAATAAACCTCCTCTTTTTGTAGGCTGATTACTTCAAGTATTATTACAGTGATGGAAAGTGATCTAGCATACCATGTAAAGAAGAGTCTAGTCAAACTTGCCCTTTACAACTGGGATGCAAGCAGTACTTTATCACTGGCCAAGTCCAGCAGGGTCTAGCAAAAAACAATTCACAAAGAGGCAACTGAGCAACTTTTATACAATAGTTATACTAGAATGTTGTTGTTTTAGTATTGAATCCTCTCAACTTCAACCTAAAGGATTCCGTATATTAGCAACTAATACCCTCTCCAGGGAAAGTATTTATTAATGTTAGCGTGAAGACTTGCCTGGAAGCTGAGACCTCAAGTTCCTGTAATCGGAATTACTTGTTCTGGTTCACTAATGGGAAGTCACCAAAAACAGGCCCAATGATTGTAAGCATCTAGCATCTGCATCTGCCAGGGTGTAGTCCGCAGGCAGGGATGCAAATGAGAACTGAATGCTGCTTCTTATTAAAATAAAAATGTGGTATACAGGTAAGAAGTTGGGAGGGACACTCTGACATATCCATGCCCCTGTGCCCTGCTGCTCACCTGCTGAGTACCTTTGAGGGTGAGATGGGTGGGGTTGGGCAGATACCACAGAGAGGATACTGCTCCCGGTGGACTATATCTCAGAGGGTTCCCAGGACAGGGGATATGCTTAGGAGAAATTGACAGTTCTGTAACAGAGGAAAGACATTTCCTTTTCCAAAACAACACAAGCCAATATATTTTCATGGTAAAAAGTTGTTGAGCTAACAGTTCTCCGTATTCCACACCAAGAGCCGTATGTTGAAACTGTACATGTGCTCAGTTCCAGTTCTGTCTCCTATTCCTTAAGCTCTTCAGGACATGAATCTGCTGCCTCAACTTATTAAGCAGCTGTTGTTTTTAATGGACTTAGAATTAGCAAGGTTCCACATTTAGGTGCCTTTTCTTCTTTTAATTGCATTTGTGTCTTCCTCTCCTGAGAGAAAGGCTTCTGCGGTTTGGGAGCTCAATTACTACCAATCTAATTAAAAGGCTTTTTTCTTTCCAGCATTCAAACGGAAACCTCATTAGAGTGACACTGGATTTCTGTGCTGTGTGGCAGCATGGGACCAAAGTATAGCATTTCAATCTGTAATCAACAACAAGCAGCAGCCAGCCACCACCTGACAGCACAGCAATGCCAAGAGGGGCCCTCTGCTGAGGCTCCAAAGGAAGCCCATTGTAGTCGGAGGGCTCCACTCTCCAAATGCATCTCCTTCCTCCCCTCACTGGCTCAGGGCCGCACCCACAGGGTGACAAGGTCTCACACTTTCTCCTACCTGCAATATGCTGACTCATGCATACACACATATGTGCATACTCACATTTGTCCTCTGCTCACCTCCACATGGGGCTTTCTGAACACAAATATAATCAGTTCATCCTCTTTCAACTTCACTGAACAAAGAATCAAGTCAAAAATCCCTTACTCAGTGCACAAGCCTTTTCTCTGTGGTCCAGCCAAGTTTTCCTTCATTCATTCGTTTGCTCATTCATTCATTCAACAAATGTTATGAAGCACTTCCTGTTTCAGGCAATATGCTGGCCTGATATGTAATGTGGTAATTGAACATTGTTCCTGAGCTCCTGGAAGATAAAATGGGGGAGCTTGCCAAGGCTCTATTCAGGTGGAAAACAACATCCCACAGGTACCCCAGGGCTGGTAATTAGCAAGCAATGCAGTTTCTGTGTCTTAGCCTGTTTAGGATGTTTTAAAAAACAATATAAACTGAGAGGCTTATAAACAACAGGAATTTATTTATCAGTTTGGAGAATGGAAGTCTGACATCAAGGTGCTGGTATAATTGAATTCTGCTGTCTGGTGAGGGCCTGCTTCATGGTTCATAAGTGGTGGTCTTCTGCCTGTGTCTTTACATGGTGAAAGGGGTGAAATCGGCTTTCTGGAGTCTCTTTTATAAGGGGACTAGTCCAATCTGGGAGGGAGCCATTCTCAGGACTGAATTACTTCCCAAGGACCCCACCCCCAATATCATCTTGTGGCTTAGGATTTCAACATATGAATGGGGAGGGCACAAATATTCAGACCATAGCACTCTTAAAATTGTTTTCAGTAATTCCAGATCAACCATCTGGCTATTACTGCCCTGTCCACACTGAGTAGGACAGCAATGAAAAATTAGAGACCATGTGGGCCAAAGGATCTCTGGGTCTAATCTCAGTTACCCAGCCAGTAGGCACTTGTAGTCTTTGGGCTTCAATCTTCTCTCCTTGGAAATGAGAATATTAACAGCTGCTTTATGTGCCTCCTATAGCCAGTGGTATTAAGGGTAGCACCACTCAATCCATGAAATGTCACTCAGCATTAGCAGCTGTCCCTGTGCAGCTGCTTGCCCATGGATCTCCCTGAAGAACATGCTCCTGCCTGCCTTGAGGACTCAGGAGAAGCCTATCATGGAAGCAAAGAAGGTCAGTGTGGCACCGTACCCCAGAGTCAAGTGGCCTGACTCTCCTCACTCTTTTTTAGTTTGAGCACTTCACTGAAGAGCACACTTTGATTTATATGAACACACTGTTTAAAAAAAATCAATATTTCTGAATAATTGTGTATCTTATTTAAGTACAACTGTTCTGATGATGTGTAATGTGCTATCTTGCATTCTTATAGCAGGTATTCTCTTGGAAGTTAAGGAAAGAATTATTCAACATTATTTCACTGCTTTCTTTGCTTTTGAGTAGATGCTGAGGAAAACAAAACAAAACAAAATACGTAACATTAGATCTAACCATGTCTAAATTCTTGCTTGCAGGGAAGACCACTGGATGATATAAATTCACATTTTTGTAGCACTGTATAGTTTATAACAAGGATGGCTTCTTTTATCCAATTTAATCTTTACACCAACCATATTTTATCCTAGTTTTACAGAATAATAAACTGAGAGTCTATGATTTTTTTCTGTGTCAGCAACATATTAAGTCTGACAAAAGACTGATAGAGTAAGAAATAAACTCCTACAAATCAATAAGAATAAAGGCAGACAATCCAACAGAAAAAAATGGGCAAAAGATGAACAAGCACTTTACTAAACAGAATTTCTATGATAACCTGAACAGGGCATGGCTAACCATTAAACAGAGTTTTTATTCTTGTAAATGTCATACATACATGGACACGCATGTGCACAATGTGTAACTCACTTTGGCCTAGTGGCATCTCAGCAAAGCTGGAAATATTGTTTTTTCTCATTTAATCATGAGAATTACTAATTTTATTTGCCTCTGTTCTGTTTGAATGCTTTGTTGTAAGCATATATTACCTTTATAATCGAAGGGAAAAGGGAACGCTTAAATAATCAATTGTGGAACAAAACAAAATAAACTCCTGGCTTTTATATTCAAAAGTAAAAGCTGAGATCCAACCTCTTATTCTTCTAGCTGGATGATTGTGTTCTGAACCACGATTTCATCCTGACACTTATGCCATAACCATGGGCACTTTGATTATGATAATGGAAAAAAAGTTTTCTTTGGTATTTGTTCAGAGCAGAAGCTCTCAAAGCACAGGCTGGGAACCTCTGGGTTTCTGAGATGAGGGCAGAACGGTTGTTTTTGATCAGTGACTCAAAACTTTTCTCATTGGGACTCGGGATGTAGTTCTGTGGTGGAGGGCATGCTTAGCATGCATGAGGCCTAGGTTTGATCCAGAACACAAAAAGAGAAAGACAGAAATAAAGG